TTATATTTGACTAAACTTAGCAAGAATGATTAATTTCACTAAAGCTAAATAAATTAGCTTGAGCAAGGTACTGTCTTTTGGACAAGTATTGTACACAAAAAATACCACTTCATAGAAACTTTATATTATTTATGTTCTTCTGTGGCTTTAGCTAGTTGTACACTTTGTTTTTTGTATGTTTACTTCATGTTGATAAAACTACTGGGAAGTATGAGTCATTAGTTTCTCCATCTGCTCACCACAAGAGTCGGAGAAAACCCAAATAAATTACGCATTAAGCTCAGCTTTAAAAGGTCAGTTAAAAGATAATCACTCTCAATATTTCAGGTCTAACGTGATTACAGGAAGACACTTCCAATAGCGTGTTGACCTGTCGAACGATCCCTCAGCCAACGGGCTCTGCAGTGACGTCCCACATGAAATGTTAAGATGCTAAACAAACAGTGAATCACCCTGATGTTAGTGCACACAGGGCACACGAGCAGCCCCCCCCCTCTCCACCCCTTTGTCACATGGGGGCTAACGGACAGCAGGCTCGTGCTCTTGACAGACAAGCCTATTGGGCCACAAAAGCCGTGTGTACTCACCACTTTCTGCTTGGACACACACAAACAATTGGACACGTCTGGAGAGCTTGGGGCCCAAACCCCGAGGAAGGGCAGATGGTGCCCAGGATCGAGGGCCGCACCCACATTAACATGAGAAAAGACAGACGGAGGTGGGGGAACAGGTACCCTCGCTTTTATTTTTCCCCATGATTAAAGGGGGTGACTCGATTATCCAGCAGAGTCTATGGCGCTGATTTAAAACCCAATTATTAGCACACTGTCTACTCAACCACAGAAGATACTGGGGATCCTGCCCAGTCCATGAACAAAAAAGTTATTTTTGCCAAATAATAAAGTTACTTTAGTTACTTTAAGTTGCAACTTTGTTTTAAATGTACTAATTTACATTTAGTACAGCATTTTTTATAGTAGGTAAAATAATTTATACTAACAAGCAGTACACACTCATCACTGAGGGATTTGCGCAGTAAATGTTTGTGGTTTTGAAAAGAGGTAGTTTTTTCATTTGTTTTGTTTTTTTTTTGCTTGTCTGAGGTAGCACAGAGTGATGAATCCTGGCAAGTGGGGAGAGCAATTTTATCCACCACCAGGCACAATGAAGGAATCAGGGGGTGGCCAATGGTGGCCTTGACTACCGTAGAATAATCTTTGGCCACCCCAATCATTTGACAAAAATATACTTTTAAGCTAAATAAAAACTAGAAAGCATATAGTTTTCTTCAATGATTAAGGTGGCTGTTTTACACACACACGCACACGCACGCACGCACGCACGCACACACACACATATATATGTATAGTGTGGTGGCCATCTTGGATTTTGACATGGAAAGAACATTTTTGATAGGGACATTTTTTTGAGCATAGCTGCAAACACACACCAAAAAGGAAGTCGGCACATTGCTTCCCCCCCCCCCCCCAAGTTATTCAACTCGCAAGTTTAACTGCTATACATGTATGGCAGCAGCCATCTTGCATTTTGACGTGACAACAAACAATTCTACAGTGACTTTTTTATGCAGTCACACACCAAAATCAAGGTCAGTATCTCTCTTCGTTTCCAAGTTGTCATGCTTTCAACATTCACAGACAGACGGACGGGGGAATGGTATTTCTAATTCACCATTTTCGCTCTGCGATGGAGGACAATCTTGGTAATATTTGCTCATTGTTAATCAGTATTTGCTTAACGAGGGGGAGCGGTGGGGCACAGGTTAGAGAAGGCAAGCCTGTGATCAGGAGGTCGGGTGTAACCCTGACCATTATATCAAAACATGGGTGAGAAAGGAGGAAAGAAGCACCCACATTAAACCCCACTCTGTGCCCTTGAGCAAGGCCCTTAACCACCATCAGTTTACAGAAACTAAGCTGAAATCGATGTGGTAGTAGCTGAGAGTCATCCTCAACATACAGCATATAAATTTGTTGCTTGAAACTTTGGCAATGCCTGTTGGAATCTGACTGTTAACAAAATATCTCAAACTATGGGATAGATTTCAATGAAACTCTTAAAAAGTAATCACTGGATGTACATTTACAACCAAACAACTTTTGGTATCAACCTATTCAAAATGGCTGCCACAGCTAAGCAACCTTGACAAAAGCTCTATTATTTTTACAGATAACGAGGTAAACTTGGGTGTGTATTTGTAGAGTCAGCCCCATCACATAATCAGAGTACTTTGATGGAAACTTTGGGAGTGAGAGATGTGCTTTCATCTGTTTCTTGTCTCCATAATTTACCTTAAGGCATAACCCCTGTTGCCACGGCTACAAACGCAGTGCAGGAGCTCTTCTCTGGGCTGAATGAGGTCACTCTGTTGTTTTGTCTCATAAATCATATGTCTGATGCAGGTACCGAACTTTTATTCTCTGTAGAAACAAACAGCAAACAGCTCTGTCATTCCAAATTAACACAGGGATGAAGCTGCAGAAGTTCAGATTCAGTTTGCTCATCTGCAGCAACGACAATCAGAGCATATGTGAGCATGAGAGAGAAATCAGAGACTGTCATGGTACATTTCTGCAGCATTTAGTATGCAGTACAGCAAGATGTGAGGTGTATCTGGTCTCCCCCATGTGGCTGAACAGAGAAAAGTAAAAAAAAAGCTCCAGAAAATGCTGATGCAGTCCTGCAGCGTCACCTTCAGCTTTATAGTTTGTTTGTTTACAAAATGACCAAACGAAACACTGTAACAAGAAAATACTGTAAATAAAAAAAGTGAACAAGCAGAAGACCTCATGGCTTTACAGTGGCAACTAATATTTATCCTTAGTTTCAGAAAAATTAAAATAATTTTGAAAAGGCTACAGCTGCACAGTTTAGTTTATCAAGCTACAGTGGGTGGAAGAGGTTAAGAGCCACCGTGCAAAAACAAACACACACATAAATACATAAATATTAATTACCAGTAATTTATGGATTTATTTTCACGGTGGCCCTAGGTAGGTCACATTTCTGCAACTGGTTTATATTTCCAACAGATTTCTGTCAATTTTCAAATTCACTTTGACATTAAAATTTGTGTTTTGATCAGGTTTTATAATTGCCATACTTCAAAAAAACCAGGGAGCGTTAGAAACTGGACACAAAAAAACACAATAAAAAAAAACATTTCTATATTTTCTATTCATGATTTTAATACCAAGTTTTGAGTTTCCTTCAATATAAAGTTTTTTTTTTTTCTGTTAAAACTGTTTACATTTAAGATAAAATGAAAACTAAAATGTTTTGAACGTTGTAGGGCTGGGCTATTCACTAACAAGTGGTTAATAATTTGCTATTTTACAGCCGTATTTCATCCAAGTCCTTCTCCTACGACAACTGTCTTTTAAACTTGTACGTCTGCAGAACCTGCGTGCATTCATGGGTTCCAAATCAGGAAGTCAAAGATCAAAATACTAAAGACTAAAGCCTTAAAGCAAATGAAAACTGGACATTATTATGGATTGTATATATATTTATTTTCCATACTGTTTACTTTTTCTATACTTACCCAAACCAGATAGACTAAAGTCAAATTAAACATTTTTTTATTTATTAAGAATGAGAAGGAACTCTTTACATACAAAACATAAAGACATGAATAGTGCTCATAAAGTTTTGCAGTGATCAGTTTTTATAGGCTGTAAGACAGCCTGGTGATTTTGCATTTTTTGTTTACTTGTGCCACCTGCCTGGCCCTACATTGTGATTTTATTTGTTTGTTGTTTTGTTTAATCTGTTTCTGTATTCAGTTCTTGTCTGCTTATTTGTTTCTTTGATTTTGTTCAGTTTTGCATCTGTTGTAAAGCACTTTGTGTTGCACATCTCTCTGTATGACAGGTGCTTTATAAATAGTTTCATTTGATTTTAGATCATTTTGAGGGTATTCAGAAAAACATATATAAACACAAAATTTCACCCAAAATAATTTGGGGAAATTAGCTCGATTAGTCAATGTATTACTTGCATAAAAGAAGGGAAATATATATAATTTAAGTCATTATCTCCTAAAAGTGAGGTCAAGACTGCTCTTTGGGAATCAAAATAAACTTTAAAACGACCACTAACTCCATATATTCCCTATATTATTAATTATAGCAATTATGATGAAAACGCAGCCATATGGATAAAAGGAGAGTAAAAGTTTTTGTTTTTAATTGATTTAGAAATCTTTGCATCAACTAGCAATGCATAAAAGCTAATTTGTTGATGAAAAAACGCTTATATCTACCCTTTCCTTTCTTTCACATATCCTCTGACTTGTAATTAACTGATAAATTAAGTGTTTGGGGTTATTTTTCCCCAACAAGGAGCAAGAAACAGTCCTCACCACCCTGCGGGCTTCAGGCGGGGATCTCCGCCCCTGCTGCCACTGAGATCGGAGCCCGGATGCGCCGCCATGCCGGACTCTTTTAGCAAATATAGCAATTTATTGACCAACCTGTGTGCCGCTAACCGACTCGAGTTAACCCAGTGACACGGTCTGGGGGACACACGGGCCGTTAGCTTGTGCATAAAAGTCACAACTGCCGTGTTTCTGCAGCTTACCGCTGTTGTGTTGATGTCGAAACACTTGTATGCTAGCTACGCTAACGCTAGCTTGAGCGAAGCACGGGGAGCGTGCGCGCGGAGCGGCTACAGTCCGGCCCGGAGGAGGCGGGGAGAACCGAGCCGCGCGCGAGCTGAGACGGTTATTTTGATGGGTGACTACACTGTTCACTGCACGCGCTGGTAGGGTAGGTAGGTGGTCATCTGGGAGGCAGTATCGCTCTCATAAACGAAGCTAGCATTTATTTATTTATTTCAAGGGCTCGGGCTACAACATGTCGAGGTAGTTGCACGGCTGGTTGTCTGATACCGCCGAGCGGAGCCGAACGTTTGCTCGACGTTTCGGTGTTCTGGCCCGCGCTATGGAGGCTAGGAGCTAAGTGTGCTAACAGGATAACTGTTCAACACGGACTCCCAAACTTTTCAGGTCAGTAACCCTTCAGCAGACACGCTTTCTGCCAGGATTCCCTCGGGACGCAGTCCTACAGTCACTGCAGATTAAAAGAGACTTATCTCTGTAAATTTACTTTTGTGTTTGAAAATGACTCTGGAAAGAAAGTAAAGATATAAAATATTTGACCACAAGGAACAGGCTAAATGTTTAGCAGAGGTTCAGGTTACTGAAATACTACCAGCAGGAGCTGGAAACTAATTAAATTGTATATATTTAGGCGTTTTTTTTTGGTAATAAATTAGCTTATAGTGAAGTTTATATGATTTGCACATTTTCGTTTAATGTTTATAAAATGTTCCTTATTTTAACTTTAAACGTCAAGCTGCAAACATTTATACAAATTTATGTTTTCTTGAAAACATTGAAGGGCTTTTTGACTAATTTCTTCTGTTTTAAAGATGGAATGAAAACAATGTAATCCTTGCTGTATTATAATGTAATCCAGGTTGATACTTTTAACTTTTTTCTATATCCTATTGCCAAATAATTTGCTTTTAAATCTTGATCCTTGACACATATATTAGTTCACCCCATCTGAAACGACTAGCAAAGGTCAGATTGTATAAACATCTGTTTTTGTGTTTTCATTTCCAGGCCCAGAAAAACTTCAGTGTGCATCCTTGTAAACTAAAGCAAATGTCTGTCGACGAGAAAATTACCAAAGCTGACCGCTCGGCATCTCCGCTGCAGCTCTCGGATTGCTACAGCAGCGTGTCTGTGATGATGGAGGAAGCGGCAGCCACCCCTGACTTTACTGCCGCTTGTCCCGTCCCGGGCACCGAGGCCTCACCAAAACACACCAGCACAGACGGCGCAGGTCAGAAAGCCAGAGGGACTGAAAACAGCATGAACAGGAGGAACAGCTTCCATCATTCTAAACAGCTGAAACTAACGAAACGGCGCTACACGGCAAGCTGTAGTTTCAAACATCCGTCAACTGGGAAGAGGAGACGAAGGGCCAACTCCGAGAGCGACTCCGTCCTGCCGACTAACTTTCTTCTGGGAGGCAACATTTTTGACCCGCTGAATCTCAACAGCCTGCTGGATGAGGAGGTCAACAGAGCACTCAACGCTGAAACGCCAAAGTCCTCGCCGTTGCCAGCAAAGAGTCGAGACCCCGTCGAGATTCTCATTCCCAGAGACATCACGGATCCCCTGAACTTGAACAGCGGGATAGCTGGCAGCAGCTTTTTGGTGTCCCCCTTTAAAAGCGGTGGAAGGAAAAGACACCGAAACAGACACCATGGAGGTGGAGGAGCTGGGAGCGGGATTTCAACCGCACAGGTGAACCTCTCCGAGTCAGAAAAAAGCGAGGTCAAAACTAGCACCTCTGCACAGCTTCCAGGTATGTCTGGTTTGTTCATCTCTGTACAAGACGACTCCAAAGAGTCCAGCAGTTTTTCCATTGTCACAAGAGATTCGCACAATCACGCAGCTGAGCCCTCAGTCAGCTGCAAGGATGAGGTCACGTCTGCACATATGGAGGATGCCACCCCGTCCCAGTCAGCGGGAACAAACCATCACGCAAGTAGACGCAAGCGAAGGCGCAACTCGGGCAAAACGGAGCCCCCTGTCAGCCATTCTACTCCTGCTAGTAAGATGGGATCTGGAGAAAGGAATTCTGGCTCATGGGGGCAAAAAAGTTCCTTCCACACTCCAAGAAGTGGTCCCAAAGGTGTCCTGGGGTTTCATCAGCAACAGCCGCCCCACAGTCAGACAAAGGAGCACCGGAAGAAGTTCCAGTATGGAAATTACAACCAGTATTACGGATATCGCAACCCAGGCAGTAGTGAAGATCCTCGTATACACGTGCTTCGTCAAGAGTGGTTTGAAGGTAAAGATGTGCTGGACTTGGGCTGCAACTCAGGCCACTTGACCCTTTACATCGCCAAAATGTTCAGACCTGCACACATCTTGGGCCTGGATATAGACCATGCGCTGATACGTGCAGCTTGTAAGAACATCAGACATTATCTGTCCGAGCTGCAGACCCAAGAGGCCAGGCGTGCGTTGCAAGAGAAAAAGACTGCTAAACAGGCGGAGGGGGGTGGAAACGAGTGCCAGGCAGGTACAGAGAAGGAACACAGCGCAGTTGAAAATGAGAAGGCAGAGGAGGGACAGAGTGGCTCTGCAAGCGCTGTAAACGATAACCAACCCGGTCACACAAACCAGAATGAGACTCGGGGGCCGGACAGTAAAACGGATGAAACTGAGCGAAAAGACTGCATCGCACTCAAGGGCTGCTCTTTTCCCGTCTCCCTGCGGATCTCCAGGGGACCCATTGCTGCACCCCCATTAACAGAAACGCATACGGCTCATCCTGGGGAGTTCCCCTCTAATGTGTCCTTCACCAAGGTAAGACTGCACTCTGAATCTGAAATAGTTTGCTCTAGTTTTAAGAAACTTAGGAGGCTTTTTATTTACATTTAAGCTATGCTTGAATCATCACATTTTAGTAAAACACAAGGGTCACTGAAACATGAGTATTCTTCCACATTCTCTCCGTAAAACTTTGTTTCTGCGTCTTTTTCCTGTAAAATAGGAATGGTGCTGTGATGCAACATGTAGCTTATCTAAACAGGCAATAGGAATTGTTATAAAAGTTAATGTGTAAATACCAGCTATAAACAAAGTTAATATTGTTAAGGCATTAAAGATTTTAATTGTTTAAAAGTTTATATCTGTGTCAGGAGGATGAACATATCCTACATATCAGTTAAATAATGGATTATATACCATTAATTAAAAGAAAATTGTATTAACATTTATGAGGGTCTTAACATTTTAATATCGACTCCATATTTATTTTTTTTATTTATGTCATGCGCAGTCACAGATAAACAACTACTGGTAAATGAATGGATGCCATGACCTTGTGACCTTTAAAGGTGGAAGATTTGTTAGCTTTGTTACTCTGTTGAGGACATTTTGCTTGTTAATTTGATAGAGTTGCGGCTGTATTTTCATCACAATTTTTATTATTTCTATGAAAACCGTTGCATGAAAGCAACAGAAAAGTCATATTTCTAAGTTTTAGACCATTCGATAGAGCTGACTCGCTCACCTTTTATCTCTGTTTGCATATCAACCATGAGCAATTCGGTTTCAAAATCCTTAAAGCAAAATATATTTGATAAATATCCAAACATCTTGTAATCCTGACAGTCCACCCTATTGATTTACAGCATTCTCCATTGTTGTCATTAGGTCAGGCAGTACTGTATATTTTGGAGCTGGTGTTTTTAATCCCTCCAGTGAAATTCTTCAGATTTGTTCAATCAGCGTTGTGTTCCTTGCCTCGGCTTGCTGCCGTTAGCCGATGGAGAAGCTCTGAGATTCTAGGAAAACAGAAGAGCTCATTTACCACCTGGAAAGTATCGGCTACCTCTGCCAAACTTTCAGGTTTCAGGTGTCTTTCAATACAAAACGTAATTTTAAAAAGTAGATTAAAAAGGAACGTCACTTGTCTGTAAGAGTCTTATTCCATGCAAAGAGGTCCTGGGGTATAAAGACACAATTTTAAAATGTTCCACCTTTTTCAAAAGTTAGACTCCCAAACTCTTAAGGAAATGCTGAATTGTACTGTCTGTTCTAAAGTATCATTCATCTTTATTCCTATACAGATTTTTAAAAAATGGACCAATAAAACATCAAATGCAGCATACCAATTACCCAGATCTCTTTTGATTATTAAAGGTGTACATTTATGGTTTACAAACATTTCCTCCCATCTATTTACAGATGTTTATTTTCGTTTTATGTATTTTTTAGCTGTTTCTTTGCAACTTACGTACCAATAATCATCTTGGTTTTGTAAAAGGAAAAGATCGTTCTGCTACCTGATATTTCTGATTCAAAGGAAAAGCAAGTGTACAAACCTAATGCAGCAAAGAAATCACAAAAATATTACACGCCATGTCTGAAAATTCACCTTGAACTTGTGTAGCGTTGCGTACGTTACAGAAAGTTGGGGAAGTTTAGTAAAGCTAAGCAGCTAGTAAACAGCTAGCAAAGCTGTTGCACATTCTGGTTCTTTGTTTGACGGAGCAGTTGTTTCTTAGCAGATGGCAGGAAGTTGAGCAGCACATGGGAGGGTTTGAGAAGAATCTAGTAATACTGACAGTATTTCTTTTTAATGCTGTGTCCTTGAAAATCCTTCCTAAAGAGGAGCGTGAGACCTCTAAGCTGTTCTCAGGCGTGAATCGTCTTGTCCGTCACACAGCAGTTTCCGTGTCGAGATGTGATGCACGTTGTCGGGATGTTCTCAATGCTCCTCTGATAGAAAGTGGTGAGATGCCCCCTGTGGAAGTCTTTTCTCACCAGATGTCAGAGTCAGAGT